AAATGTGCCAGGCCCCTGAGGAAGCAGCTTGGCATGACCCTTGCTGAGCTCATAGAGGCAAATTAAATACTAAATGTGCCAGGCTAGGGCGCCTGGTGCAGCAGCACATCCCCACAACACGGACAATGGCATCCCACTCATCTGTCACCACCACAGAAGCTCCAGCCCTCCCTTTCCAGGCTGGACTTTCCTGCTCCCAGCCCACACTCCTGAGAACAAGGAATAAGAAATAGTAATGTTCTGCTGTGACCAGCTATGGGTCCCTGTGACCCCCTTCCAACCCCCAGTGTTGATGGCCCCAGGGACCTAAAAATGCCAGGAACATTGAGTTATGGCATCTGCAGCACTAAAATTTAGCAGGTCTGTGGCTGGCCAGGCGGGGGTCTCTGTAGCTAAGCCCTAGCCCCTAAGGCCTGGGGGCTCCCAGCGGGAGGGAACAGCTCAGGAAGGACACTGAGGCCTGTTATCGCCCAGGGCAATGGGGAATTGGCTCTTACTGGGATGAGGCCTTACTCTGCCTCAGTTTGTTAATACAGGTCAAAGAATTAGCAGATTGGAAGAGCCTCAGAAATCATCCAGGCCAATCTTCCATTTTACAAAAAGAAAAACTGAGGCTTTAGGAAAAGAGGAAGCCACTTACACAAGGTCTCTCACTGAGACTAGACTCCAGGTCCCCAGTGTAGAGCCCAGTAAGTACTCTTTCCCCCCTCTGCCGTGATCCCCCAAACTCCTTCTCAATGATACCATGTAATGGGCCTGCTCCGCATGGGCCCAATGGACCTCATTCACAGGGAGCAGAACCATTCCTAGTCCCACCTTGCCATCCAAGAACTGAAGAGCATGAGGCCCAAGGGTTCCCGCTCAGCTCTGCCTCAGTTCCTCGCCTGTAAAATGGGGATTTAAGAACCAGTTCCCCGGACGGCTACTGTGAGGATCCAACGAGATCACATATGTGGGACACTTTGCAAACTGTGAAGTGCTCTCCAAATGTCAGATATTCCTAAAAGGGCGTGAGGTCTGAAGGTGCAGCAGAGGGAGGAGGTCGCAGGTGAGGAGGCTATGCGCCAGTGAAAACCCACAACCACATGAGGCTGAGGGCCTGCCTGGCCACCCCATGGACCTGACTGATACTAGGGGCCACCAGCAGAGACTGGCAGGCAGCAGGTCAGACCAGCCCAAGTCCATTGGCCTAAGAGACTGGCTGCCTGCTTTGTCGTGTGTGTGTGTGTGTGTGTGTGTGTGTGTGTGTGTGTGTGTCCCTGTCCGTCCTCCTAGGTACTCCAGGGAGGCAAGCCTGGAATTTGCCTGGCTTTTCCAGGGGAGCATTTGGCAGGAGGGCAGTGTATGGTGCTGGGAAGGGACCCCTTGCTTCAGCCAGCTCACAGACCCACACAGGAAAGCCTGCCAGCCCAGATCCCTCTGGGGACCTCTGGGTGTCCCTGCTTCCTTGGGGACCTTACCTTGTACTTGGCTGCGAGCAGCTCTGTGGCCTGCTGCTCGCGCCGCAGTTCTTCCAGCATCTTCTCCTTCTCCTCCAGCAGCTTCTGCTTCTCCTCGCTGACCAGGCTTCGGTCATCCTGGATGGCTGCCTTCTCTTCCTCCAGCCGTTCCTTCTGCTCCTGCAGGTAATTCTCCATGTTCTTGTCCAAGGCTGAGTCCAGGATGGGCTGGGGCGGGCGATGGTTGTTGTTGTTGTCATCCTCCTCTTCGGCCACCCAGGCCTCGATCACTGGCCCCTCAGGGTAGCCGGCGGGGGCCGACACAGCCTTCTTTCTACGACTGCTCTTTCTCCGGAGCCGCTTCCCCAGCATTCCTTTCTTCTCTAGCTGGGCCTTCAGGCGGGCAATCTCCTCCTGGAATTCCCTCAGCAGTGTGTCCTTAGGGTCCTCGTTCACCCGGGGCCTGTTCTTGATGTTTTTGGCCCGGTTGGCAAAGCGCAGGGTAGAGAGGCTCTCATCGTAGCTGTGAGAAGCTGGTCCCAGCGTGGCCACCATAATGGTCTTGGCATTCCCCCCAAGAGAGTCCTGGAGCAGCCTGGTCAGCTTGGAGTCCCGGTAGGGGATATGGGTGCTCCTGTTGCCCGCCAGAGCAGCGATCACGTTGCCCAGGGCAGACAGCGAGAGGTTGATTTTGGAGGCTTCCTTAGGCCTCTCCCCACTCCCACCGCCCCCTCCGCCGCTGCCACTACCTGTGGACTGTGTGGCAGCCCCTCCAGCTGTGTTGGGGCCCGCCTTATTCTGCCTCTCACTACCAGCCAGGTCCACCAGGTTGAGCTTGCCCACACGGATGTGGTCCTGGCCATCTGAACCACGCTCACTGCACTCCACGGTGATGACGAAGATGGCGTGGGAGCGGGAGCTGACCTCATTCATGTGTGTGCTGCCCACTGCCCGGGTCTGGTTCCCCAGGTTCATCACATGCTCGATCTCCTTGACATTCTTGGTGACAAAGGAGGAGAGGTCCTTGATGTAGACACCTGTCTCTGGATTTTCCTTCAGCTCCAGCCTCTTGCCAGGCTCCTTGGAGAGCAGGTCTCGGATCTCCTCCTGGTAGATCTCCAGGTAGGAGGCCCGGACCAGGTACTGCTGGTTCTGGGAGCGAGAGATGTGGGTGAAGATGTGCTCGAAGGCATTAGGGATGACCCCACGCAGCTCGGGCTCCACCCAGGTCCCTTGCATGGTGTAGGTCTTGCCAGTGCCCGTCTGGCCATAGGCAAACACCGTGCCATTGAAACCCTGAAGCACCGAGTCTACCAGGGGCCTCACAGTTTCATCATACAAGTCTGCCTGCTTGGAGCTGGCATCATACACGGCATCAAAGGTGAAGGTCTTGGGCAGCTCCCCCAGGGCAGCACGGGGGTTCCGCAGGGTCACCTGGCCCAGTTTCACGTCCATGGTCAGGATTTGCTCATGACCAGCAGCCTCCTCCTTCCGGCTGAGGGGGCGGCACCGGGCCACCACCTTCAGGGCCTCACTGCCCTTGGTTTTATTGGCCATCTTGCTCCTGTCCTTCCTGCCCCAGGGACCCGTCCGTAGGCTGGGCAGTCCTGCGTCCTCCCTAGGTAGGTATCACCGGGGCCGGCCCAGCCCTGAGGCGCCGCTCTTCAATCCGCATGCAGCCTCCCAGGGTGGGGATGCTGGGAGGTGGCCCCGCCGCCGCTGCAGTCCGGGCCTCCTCCGCTCTCTGGTCCTCGCTGCACCGGCTAGACAGGGAGAATTAGGCAGAATCTCCGGGCAGCCGCGGGAGCCGTGCCGGCCGGATGGCAGCGCCCGGAGCCTGCCCCATGCTGGGGCAGAAGAGCCCAGGCGTAAACAGCTACGGCAACAATGAGATAAAGGAAGAGGAAGATGGGATGGGGGCGGGCGGCAGAGCTGTCTTCTCAGCCTCCTCCTCTAGGGATCCATGGCGGGGGCTGCGGGTCCTGGGCGGCCGGGGGTCTCGGCCCTGCTGAGGGCAGAGGCTCACCTGGAGTCCTCCTCCCCAGCTGGGGGGTCATTCATTGCAGCCAGCGCTGCTGCTGCCGCTGCCGCCTCTGCCCTTCCCCGCCGCCACCGGAGAATGAGAGAAAAACAGAAGGCGATGGGGCGGAGCAGCGGCGGCGAGACTGATGTTGCCGCTGCGCTGTGGCCCCAGCTAAGCCTCCGGGCTGGGGTGGGGCGCGGGGCGGGGCCGCGGGACAGGAGGCGCCAGTCCGCCGCAGCCAGTGCGCCCGGGACGACCGGGGTGCATCGCCGATCAGCGCCCTTAGACCCCTCCGGAATGACAGACTCTGGTGCCGACTCAGGTCCTGCGCCCACCAGGCGAGTGGCAGCGCAGCCACCGCCCGCCGTCACCCCACGAAGCCGAGCATGCTGGGAGTTGTAGTCCCGCCTTTGTTAACCCGGATCTGGCAGGTTGCTGCTGCCTTCTCACATCAGGGGAAGCCCCTCCCTCTCTGGCATGAAACTCCCAGCGTGACTGCTGAGGTTTCAGCCTACCTGGTGGGGGAAGGGGGGTGACCCACTACCCACATGTGTTCCCTCCACAGCCACCATCCTTGTCTCTCCAATGCGCCTGCCTTTCTGTCTGCAGACAGGTACATGTCACCCCTCCCCTTCAGGGTCTCCAGGTACCCTAATTCCTAATCTTTTCCTCGCCCTCCCCTGGTTTACTCCTGTTGTCTTCTCTCTCCTGGAGCCTCCTTCCAGCTGATTTTCTCCTCACCTCCTCTCCCCACAAGCACCCCTCCTCCTCCACCAGCTTTCTATCCTATATAATAAAAGGCAATGTGCAAATAGACCGAACAACTGGTGCGCTGACCACGAGAGGGAAGAACATGGTGGGCGTCGGCAGCAGGTGGCAGAGCACAGAACATGGCCAGTGTCAGCTGCGGTGGAATGGTGGAGCAGGTGAGTGGGGGGATGCCCGACCAAGGTGGGGCGCCAGTCGCTGTCATCGGGGCGAGCCTCTGGTGGTTACTGAAAATTCTTTGCTCCCCCGTGCTGCGGTCCCGCCTGGCGCTCACACCTACTGCCCGTGCTGGCCCTGCTCACACCTGCTGCCGGTGCCAGCCCCAACTGCTTGGTGCCATCAGCAGGTGCAAGCAGTGGCTGCTGGCCCCAATCACCCCTGAGGGCTTCTCCACCTCCCCCTGCTCCTGAGGGGTGATCGGAACAGCAGCCACCACTAGCACCCGCTGCTAGTGCTGGCCCCAATCACTCTTTGCTGTCAGTGGGTGCAAGAAGCGGTGGCGGGAGCAGGGCTGCCAGCAGACAGGGGACCAAGGCAGGAGGGGCCAGGCGGGGGCACGGAGGATGGGCCAAGACCACCTTGTGCCCTAGCAGGTTTGGCTCAGTGGACAGAGTGTCGGCCTGCGGACTCAAGGGTCCCAGGTTCGATTCCGGTCAAAGGCATGTGCCTCGGTTGCGGGCACATCCCCAGTGGGGAGTGTGCAGGAGGCAGCTGATAGATGTTTCTCTCTCATCAATGTTTCTAACTCTCTATCCCTCTCCTTTCCTCTCTGTAAAAATTCAATAAAATATATTTTTTTAAAAAAAGACCTGCCCTTGTGCCCACCGCAGCCTCACAGCCCACAGTTCCTTTCAAGGTGCACGAATTCATGCACTGGGCTCCTGGTATTGTATAAAAGGCTCTCCATCTTCTGACTCTTGCCTAACTTCCTATCCTCCCCCACAGCTACTCTCCTATGGAGGGTCTGTGTTCCAGACATTCCTTCCTTCAAACCTCGCTTGCTAAACCCAGGCCCCATTCAAGGAGCTGGACCTTCTTGTCCTCAAGGAGTTCACATTCTAGAAACCATGTTTTGTTTCCTTAACTGGCTGTGCTGTGTTGCATCTTTGTGCCTTTGCCCAGAGGACCCTGTCCCCCTTGTGTACTTGGCGCCCTGACACTTGGGTAATTCAAGCACCTCCTCTGTGAAGTCTTCCCTGACCAATGTCTTTCCCATAGCAGAAAGAGACACATAATTTGCATAAAACAAAAAACTCACATTCCAGTTCCAGTTTTGCTCTTCATCCAACTGTGTGACTCTGGGCAGTCACTTACCTTGCCCCAGCTTTAGTTTCCTCATCTGTTTAAGAAAAATTGGAAAGGGGGCAAGAAATAGTATCTTTCTCTGGGATGGTTGTGAGACTCAAAGAATGAATCATAAAGTATTGCACCAATGAAAAGACTTGTTTTAAGCAAGCCCTTAATAACGTACATGACCTTGGATTGTCTGATAGCTCCTGCTTCCTTGAGCATCGTGGATAGCCCAGGCCTATGCTTGCTGTTCCTCTTTTGTGTCTTCATATTTTTTCCCTCTAGGATACAAATCACTTATAATTCTTCAAATCCAAGGATGAAGCCAGTATCCTATCCATGTTCCACTCTGCAGTGTGGAGCTGAATCTGTGGACTGGGCCCCAGTTGTCCTTATCCTCCATATGAGATCCAGATAGAGGAGATGCTGTTATCTGAAACTTTCAGGCCATTCATAGAGGCACCAGAAGAATCTGTCCATACAACATTTTCAATCATGTTATTCTCTAGAGAGCCTAATTGTGTGTTCTTCAACTCTACAGAACCTATCTCCTTACTTCTTCCCTATCTTCAAGTCCCTAGGACCTGAATGCCAGCTCAACTGGAAGCTTAAGGCTTAGCTGGTGGCTGGTCCACGTCTGTAACTTCTTGGCCTTCCTCAGCCCTCTCTTTCTTTGATCAAGCTTAACTGCTTGTGATTAACTTGGCTTTTGAATCAATTCTTGGGTGGGGTTTTGGCTTTGTACACTAACCTCTCTTGGCTCTGGCAACCTGACTTCTGGATGGACGATTTGGCTGTTGAACGATTTTCTTGTTGCACTTGGCTTTGGTTTTTGGACTACCCTTTCTCTACTTTGGCTAACCCACCTGACTCTACAGTGCTGGATAAAACAGATCCTTTCCCTGTTCTCCCCACCTGATGTCATTACCTGTCAGGGAACTTGTCCAAATCCTCCCATATGGGAGGGATACTAGATTCCCATTGATTACATAATGTATGACCCTGAGTAAAATATTAAACTTCTGAGCAGCTATTTTCTCAGCGGGAAAAGTGAAGATAAGAATGCTTGCCTGACTCACAGGGTTTACATGAGGATTAAGTGAGATAATGTATGTGAAAACTCCCAGGGCATAGAAGACATTGAAGAAATTGTAGTTTTCCTCCCTTTTATCCTTTGCATTCAGGTTGTTCACATTCTTTGTCTCCCTTTTCAGCACTGTCTTCAGCCATCCTTCTTTCCTGCACCCTCTTACACACTCAAGTCTCCAGCCTTTCTGGTTCGCTAAAGGTCCTCCAAACATGTAGTTTTTCATGTTTCCATATCTTTGCTCATGCTGTTCCTCAGCCAGAAATGTCCTTCTAACTTTGTCCCTGCCTACAGAGCTTCACCTTCTATTAATTCTATAACTTGACCTTACATGGCTTCCACTTCTACAGCTCAATAGAGATTTCTCTTATGAAGGACATCAGTTAACTCCATGGCCAATTCTAGTGGGCCCCTTTCAATAGGAGCATTTGACATAATCCACTTTATTCTTTATCAAACTCTCACTGCCCATGGTTTCCATGATTCTGCACTTTTCTGGTATTCTTCCTACAGCTCCCAGAACTCGCAGTCTTCTTAACTGGTTGATCTCACTGAACCCCAACATTAAATGTTGAAGTTCACTAAGGCTAAATCCTAAGCCCCCTTTTTCTTCCAATGTCCCTCTCTGATGATCACTACAGCTTATGGGTTCAGTATTGTCTAAGTGATTCCTAAATTTGTATCTCCAGTCCAGACTTCTCTGAGTTCCAAGTTATATGTCCAGTTCTCTAATGGACATAGTTACTTGGATAGCTCCCATATATATGAAATTCTATTTGTCCAACTGAATTCATCATCCTCCCATCCAAACCTGGTCCTCTAGGAATGGTCCTTAGCTTTGTAAACAACTCTTGCCTCACCCTCAATATATCCATTCAAACACCAAATCCTATCAACTCAACTCCCTAAATATTTCTCAGATCTATCTACTTTTTTTCCAAGCCGTTATATTCTCTGGCCTGACCTCCCAAAATACCTCCAATCTGGTCTTCCTAGGTGTGCTCTTGTCTCTACCCATCCATTCTCTATAAGGTAATCTACACTAATAAAAGAGAAACATGCAAGTTGATGTCACTCCGCTATGCCCACCAGCCAATCAGGATGCGTATGCAAATTAACCCATGAAAGATGGCGGTTAATTTGCATATGCAGGCACAGAGTGAAGACTGAAGAAGAATGAAGACGACTGAAGACTGAAGAGGCTTGCCTTCTCCACTGCGGCCAGAGCAGAGAAGCATCCAAGCTTGGCTTCTCCACTGCGACCAGAGGGAAGGCCTGGGTCCTGGGTGCCGGAGGAAAACCAGTGCCGGCAGCCAGGGGAAGGAAGGCCTATTGCATGAATCTCTTCATGCAACGGGCCTCTAGTCTTTCAATAACACCTGACTAATCATATCACCAATGCTTAAAACCTTTCAAGGCTTCTCACTGCTCTTAAGGTAAAATCCAAATCATTAATGCAGCCCCCAAGGCCCTACATAACCTGGTACCTGCCCATATCTCCTGTCACATCTCATGCCACTTTCCACCTTGCTCTCTGGGCTGTTATAACAATGGTTTTCTTCAGCTCCTTTCCAACTTCCCACCACAGGGCCCTTACACATTCTGTTTCTATTGCATAGAACATTTATCCTCACCATCTTTGCGTAGGTAACCTGCTCTTCATCCTTCAGCTCTCAGCTTGAATGTCACTTCCTAAGGGCACCTTTCTTGACTTTCCCACCTAGTTTATGTCCCTTTGCAATATATTCTCATTGTTCCCTGTATATCTTTCATAGAAGTTAGCATAATTATAATTAAATGGTTATTCACCCACTTCCTCTGTTGTTCTTTGAAGACATAATATATCTGCTTCATTCAGTTTTTTTTTTATATACAATGACTAGTCTAGTTTCTGGCATATAATATGTGCTCAGTAACTATTTTTATAAATAAGTGACATAAATAAAAGTCCCTTATGAATATCACCTCTTCTGGGGATCTTTCTTTGACTTCCCTGAGTCTGCCTTCTAACTAATCTTTACTTTTTTCATGATCCTATTGCTCATTATTGAACTAGCTGTATAGTACCCATCATAGTCTGACTTATACTATGATTAACTGCATATGTCTCCTTTACCATAATGTATATCTCCTGAAGACAGGAGCTGTGGCTTTTGTCATTGTGCCTCATTTACCCATATCTAGCACAGTACCAAATACATTTTAGGTAATCAATATCAATGGCTAACCAAGTGAATGAATGTTCCAAGACCTTCAGGGCAAGAAAATGGGAAGACAGAATGAAGAACAGTAATAAATTCTTAGATTTGTGGAATACGTTACAGTTAACAGAGTATTATCACATATATTACTCACTTGATCCTCATGTCAACCCCAGGAAAGGGGAAAACATTAATATTTTCTTATTGTAAAGAGGATTCCAAGCTTCAGACCAATTAAATGACCAAGGAAGGAAACCCAGCCACCAAGTGGCAAAGTCAATCTTCAGACTCCAAATCTGCAACCTGGGGTCTTTTCCTATGTCAAGGGGGGAGCTTACCATGGAGAGGGCAGAACAGGTGCTTCTCAGTCCTGGTTTGAATGACAGTTTCTTTGGAGTCCAGCCCCGTCTTTGGCTTGGTAGGAGGCAAAAGCTTCCTTCCTGTTTCTCCTTCGACAATGACCGTCATTTTCTCCCAGGGGATTTCCACACCAGCCTCGTCTTCCAGTGTGATCCCAGTAACAGAGTGAAATTATACCAAGAAGACAGAGTTAGCTCTTTAGTAATCCTGGGGCCTGCAAATTTCCATATGCACGTAATTCAGGATTTGAGTTTGCCTTGTAAAACCAAGTTCTGCCAGCAGATGGAGACATGAGTATGTGACAGAATCACTGGATGAGCTCCAAGCTTCCGGCTTCTCAATCACTGCGACATTAATTCAAGAGTCACCCAATTGTGTTCAAATCTAGATTACTAATAGCTCCTCTTTTCCTTCTTTCTCTGCTGTAATTTCTGGGGAATGGGATTTGAGTCAACTCCCCATCCCCTTCCCTAAAAGAATAGAAAAATCTAAATATTAAAAAGGCACTCTTTGCCCAGCCAGTGCGGGTGTGGCTCAGTGGATTGTCAACCCATGCACCAAGAGGTTACTGGTTCGATTCCTGGTCAGGGCACATGCCCAGGTTGTGGGCTCCATCCCCAGTAGGGGGCATGCAGGAGGCAACCAATTGATATTCCTCTTGCATCAATGTTTCTATTTCTCCCTTCCCCTCTCTAAAAATCAGTAAAAACATATTTTTAAAAATGCACTCTTCTGGGTAGCTTTGTTGAGCACCTAATAGGTGGTACAGATGTTTTATTTAACCTTCACATTAACCCAGGTGGTAAGTGGCAGTACTAAGGCTTGAGCAGTACTGAGGCTTGAGCCTAATTTCTCCAACTCCAAAGCCTGTGTTCTTTCCACCACTGGGCCCTGAGGTTTAGCTCCCAATCCATCCCCTAGCTGGACTAACTCTACCTTCTTTCAACACTTTCCTGCCTCTTCCAGCCTCAGGGGTCTCTTCCCTTCTTTACCGCCTTTAACAATGAACATCTGCTTTTTTGTTTTATGATGTGATTATATCACTATGAAAATATTCTGTCTCCCCAACTGCATTTCTTCTACTTTGCTATACTTAAGTTTCTCACTACAAAAGTAATTAAAGATCGCACTGGCCAAAGGGTTGCTGGTTTGATTCTAGTAAGGGCACATGTCCAGGTTGTGCGGGGGTCATTCCTTGGTATGGGGTATGCATGAGGCAGCCAATTAATGTTTCATTCTCACATCGCTATTTCTCTCTTTCTCCCTCTCCCTTCCTCTTTTTATAAAAGTCAATAAAAAATTATATTTTTAAAAAAGTGATTGAAGAACATGTTTGAAGAGCTTTCACTATATTGGGTTTCTTTTCTTTTTTTTTTGCTTTTTTTTTTTATTATTGCTTAAAGTATTACAAAGGTATTACATATGTGTCCTTTTTTTCCCCCCGCCCTTGACAGTCCCCTAGCCTCCCCTATCCCCCAGTGTCTTATGTCCATTGGTTATGCTTATATGCATGCATACAAGTCCTTTGGTTGATCTCTTACCCCCCTACCTCCGGCCCCCCAACCCTCCCCGGCCTTCCCGCTGCAGTTTGACAATCTGTTTGAGGCAGCTCTGCCTCTGTATCTATTATTGTTCAAAAGTTTATACTGGTCTCTATTATCCATGAATGAGTGAGATCATGTGGTATTTTTCCTTCATTGACTGGCTTATTTCCCTTAGCATAATGCTCTCCAGTTCCATCCATGCCATTGCAAATGGTAAGAGTTCCTTTCTTTTTACAGCAGCATAGTATTCCATCGTGTAGATGTACCACAGTTTTCTAATCCATTCATCTACTGATGGGCACTTAGGCTGTTTCCAGATCTTAGCTATGGTGAATTGTGCTGCTATGAACATAGGGGTGCATATATCCTTTCTGATTGGTGTTTCTGGTTTCTTGGGATATATTCCTAGAAGTGGGATCACAGGGTCAAATGGGAGTTCCATTTTCAGTTTTTTGGGGAAACTCCATACTGTCTTCCATAGTGGCTGCACCAGTCTGCATTCCCACCAGCAGTGCACGAGTGTTCCTTTTTCTCCACATCCTCTCCAGCACTTGTCGTTTGTTGATTTGTTGATGATAGCCAGTCTGACAGGTGTGAGATGGTACCTCATTGTTGTTTTGATTTGCATCTCTCGGATGACTAGTGACTTTGAGCATGTTTTCATATGTCTTTTTTTATTTTTCAATCCTCACCCGAAGATATGCTTGTTTTTTATTGATTTGAGAGAGAGAGAGAGAGAGAGAGAGAGAGAGAGAGACATTGATGTGAGAAACATTGATTGGTTGCCTCCCGTAAGTGCCCTGACCGGGATTGAACCCGCACTTAAGTATGTGCCCTGACCAAGAATGGAACCCAAATGGAACTCCAACCAACCGAGCCACCCGGCCAGGGCTAAGTTTTTAAAATATTATAGGCCTTATCATCCACTTTTTCCTACTCTACATGCAGTCCATCCACAAATCCCATCTGGGTCCTGCCTACAAAAATCTACCAATCCTGACTCCAAAACCCTGTGTGCCACCACTACTGCCACCCTAGCCCATGCCACCTTCACCTCTTGCCTGGACACCATGGTAACATTTTAACAGGAAACCCTGCTTCCACCACCCTACTCTCCCTCCTCCACAGAACAGCCAGAGTCTTCCTTCTAAACTATCAATCAAATCACACCACTTCCTGCTCTAAACTTCCAATGCCCTCTCATCACTCTCAGAATAAAATCCGAAATCCCTCACCAGGTCGCTCAGGCCTTCCGCGATCGATCAGGTCCCTGGTTACGTCTCCCATTTCATGTCTTCATACTCTCCCCCCACCCCCTCTGATCCAGTAACACTGGCCTCCTTGTTCTCTGGGCCTGCCAGGCACATTCCGGTTGCAGGGCTGTGCGCTGCTCTTTCCTCTGCCTGAGGCTCCTCCCACGGCTGCTCATGGTTCTCTCTCTCATTCAGCTGTGCTTTCAAACGTCATCTCCTCAGAGAAGCCTCCTCAAGTCTCTCTTCATCACTCTCCTACTCTTACTATCCTTTGTTTATTCATAGCGCTTGCCACAATATAACATTCTAGATGTTTCTATGTTTGTTTATGGATTATTTTCCATTAGAAAACAAGCACCATGACAGAATTTTATTCTGTATTCCAATGTCTGGAAATATGACCAGTTCATCAAAAACCCCAGGAAGCATTTGTTTAATGAATAAATGAGTGCATGAAGTTATTAATAGCCTTCACAATCATTATTTTGAATGTTGCTTAACAGTGTAAATTGTGAAATTTCATTGTGAAATATTAGGTTGAACCATATGAAATGGCCATTTTGTAGGTTAAAAATGGTTGAATATTGTCAATGCCATGTATTACAGTTGCATTAACACTTAAATAATTATTATAAAACAACATCCCTGTACAAGCCACCCAGGCCAAAAAAAGGACATTGCCAGGATCCCTGAAGTCCCCTGCATCTCCAGGCTGCCCGTCTGGTGCCCTTACGCTGACTCACCACCACCAATCAGCAATCAGACCAAGGTCCTGGCTTCTGCATCCTGGAATGCTGCAAGGGCGGTTTCCTGGTGTGATTCACCAACAGCAAGAATGCTTCAGTCTGACACAGAGACCGACTTGGGGAGGGGGACTCCGTGTCCTCAGCCAGGAAGCTTCCTCGGAGCCTCCCAGTCCCCAGAGATCTCTGCCTTTCTGAGCTCACAATCTCTTTCATCCCCGGTTTACTGTGTGCCCCCAAGAAGACGCTCACTCTGTCCTCTTTGCTGTTATCCCCCCCCCCCCCCCCCGCAGTGCTGTTTCTCCAGCTGTGAGCAGCTGCAGGTCAGGGGCATGCATGAATTCCTCTGCCTTGCCCTGACTCAGGGGCTGGACATGGCTAACACTCCATGTGAGAGTGAGCCAGCAGGTGCGGTTTGTGGGGTGCTTAGGCATGAGCACATTTTGTGGTTAGAATCCCACCTGGAGGAAGGATTCCAAAATGATCCCAAATTCGCACCTCTGGCCTATTGGTTGACTACCCTCACGGAGGAGTGACAAAGGGGCCTGGGTAAACTCCCACGGCTCTGGCAAGTAGACTTTCAAAAACCAAGCCTGTCTCAAGTATCCTCTGAAATAGCTCCACCCAAGGTCATGCTCACTGATGGGGAAGTTAATCCCCTAAGAAGATGCTGTCTGTACCCTCTGAAGGTGTAGAATCTAAACAGAACAACAGCTGGTACGTACTGGGAGCAGAGTGGCTCCAGGCGCTGGGTGCAGGCCCGAGCTGCAGTCAGGAAACCTGAGCTCAGGCCTGGCTCTGCCACAGCACACCCCGTGACACTGGGCCTGCTGGTGACTTCAGCTCCTGAGCCTGTGCCCTTATACGCCCAGCAAGGGGCAGCCGTGCCCAGGCACTGCACAGAGATGGTGTCAGAAGAAATGGCACATTATATGTAAAAGTACTTTGAAAAGCGTAAGGTGCTATACCGACATGAAGGGTTATTAGAAAGAAGAGTGCTGAGAGATGAACGGGGCGGGCCTCGGACACTTCTCAGTATGATTTGCTGGGCAATAGAAACAATCCCGTATTTGTTCAGTGCTTGGTCCTTCACAAAGGGTTTCTCTAGGTTCTTTATCTCACCTGAGCCTCACAGCGACCCAGCGAGGCAGGCAGGGTGGGGATTATTTCCCTTGACCACTGATCAGATGAAGAAAAGGAGGCTTAGAGACCATGATTTTCCCATGGCCCTATAGTCACAGCCTTAGGACTAAAACCACCCTATGCAGCTCTCTATGCTCATGATGGGCCCATTATGGTGTTCTCTCTGTTTCAGTTGCTGTAACCCCATGAGGCAATTTCCCATAAGACCTGTATGAACACATCCTAGCAAGGCCCTAGAACCCCATGTGACTGGAAGGGGTGCGGCAGGAAGGGGGAGCAGAGTGAAAAGGGGGTGTGGTTATCTCATGAGCAATGGGAAGTTATTAAAGGTTTTTAGGCAGAGAAATGCTATGATCAGGGCTATATGTTTTTAAAAATACTTTCCTTCTCCACTTCTTTTCCTTCTCCTTCTCCCCTCTTCTTTCTCCTTTTTATTCTTCATTTACTTTATAAAATTCCCTAGGAAGAGAAAGAAAAGAAAATGTTGGGACCTTCCATCATGAGAACTCTTGAGTGCCCAGCTAGCTGGAGCCCTAACTGGCTGGCTCCTTGAACTTATTTTTTATTTTATTTATTTATTTATTTATTTATTTATTTATTTATTTTACCTCAGTTTCCGATGAGAACAACAACAAGTTGTGGTTCTCGTTTTGTTCAGATTTCCAAGGTGGTTTTTTTAAAAAGGCTCCTTGCATTTATAAGATGCCAGGGTCCTGCTCAGGGACTCCCCTCTCTAGGGGGACAGTTTTAGGGGCTTCCTGCTCCAGGAGCAAGACCAGGGTTCAGGAAAGAAGTGCGCTGTAGCAGGCATAGCCCTGGACCGCTTGCCTCCCAAAATGCTGGAACCAGGTCCCCAGGTCCCTC